CATTTGTTGGTACCATTCTAACTCAGAGGCCCACATAAGTGATCATAGTTCAAGTGGAGGGTGTAGGATGCTAGGGAGGCTTTCTTTTCAATTCAATAGATAGTTGAGGCCATTACATTTTTTTTAAGAAATGAGATGACCTGCCTGTGCCAACTAGCATCCCAAGGAGATGAATTTATTGAAGTGTCGAGAGATGGGCAGAAGGGAGAAGACAATTAGAAATGGGATATCAGGACCTTCAAAGAAAATGTACACTGTTGTGGTAAAATAAAATACGGTATGTGGAGAGAGACAGTGAAGAAAAGAATAGAAAAACAAGAGACTGTTTAATAATTTAATGAAATATATTAGTTCTCTATTCCTGCTGCAAAACTCATCTAAAATTTTGTGGCTTAATACAATACAAATGTATTACAGCTCTGGAGCTCAGAGTCCAAAATCGTTCTCACTGGCTGAAATCCAGGTGTCTGCAGGGCCGTGTTCCTGTGCAGAGTGTCAAAGAAACAATTGATGCCGGGCCGGCAAGATAGCTCAGCGGACTAAAGTGGCTTAGGCAAGCTTAGGTGAGCACAGGGACCGTGGTTCGATCCGTGGCACCACATGCCACACCGGCCTTGCCTCCAGGGCAAGCTGAGCCAGCCAGAGTCCAGGTGTAGTGGCACACGCCTGTAATCCCAGTGCTGGGGAGGCTGAAAGCAGGAGCATCACCACGAGTCCTAGCTGCATAGAGAGACCCTGTAACCACCAAATACATTTTTAAAAAAGTAAAAGAAGAAAAGATTCTCTTGTCTTTCCCACCTTCCACAGGTGCTTGCATGTGGCACCATTTTCCATCTTCAGAATCTGCAGTGTGGCATCCTAAACTCCCTCTGGAGTTGGACCCTCCTGCTTTCCTTCTCCCCCTCCAAGGACCTTGTGAATTTGTCAACCCCACACAGATGACCCTCTGCCCATCTCCAGACCCTTAACTTCATTGAATCTGCCCTTTGCCTTTTACCACCTCAGGTAACATATGCAGAGGTTCCCAGGGCTAGGACAGCGAGGCCTCTGCAGGCAGTCCTTTGTGTCCCACATGGCAGAGTATCATATTGCGATGACCACACAGCATTTGGAAGAGAGGTTAAACAGGCTGAATTAGTATCAGTCGTCTTTCTTCTAGCTGCTCTTCTGTGAAATGGGTAGACAAGGAGAGAGTGACAGGCCTAACATTCTGTGACTAGAATGTCCCTCCCCTGAAGACAGGCATTTTTTTCTGTCTTGCTCACTGCTGTGCTCATTACCAGCAACAGAGACTGTAACCTAATAAGCGCCCAGTAACTATCAGTTGAATAAAATATTTATTGTAAAATAAATCAATGAAGGAAGGAAAAGAGCAGTGACAAGAGTTCTCCAGTGACTCCTTGTTAAATTCTAGCTGTCTTGAGGAAACATGGGATTTTCACTCTGGTTGGACAGCCTAGAATCTCACGGTCATGACGGAGGCATTCCGCAGTTGGGAGGGAGGGCGAGCGGAGGTTCCGCAGAGTCTGCTCCTTTTCTCCCGTGCTTTTTGTCTCCATGCTGAGCATACCCTGGAAGGGGGAGCAGAGAACTGCATCGAGGTTCTGCCTGACCTCAGTAAATGTCCAGGGCAGCTGCTTACCGAAGAAGATCACTGTGGCAGTGATTGGTCGCCCTGGAGCAGCCAGCTGTCACATTCCACTCTGCTCATTCAGCGAGAGGCAAGTCTTGCCCTTTACATTCCTAAAAGAACACTCAACCCCGCAAGGACACAGTATGTGCTTGCACTGTGGAAAGTGCCAGCGAAATGCAAATCAAGAGAGGCTTCGTTTGCTTAGAAAATAGCATGGAGCACCTGCATTCGAAGGTACTGGTAGCAGGGAGGGCAGCAACAAGGGAACTTCACCACAACCGACCTTTGAGGGGAATGCTCCCCACTTGGCAAGCCCAATGCCTACTTACATTAAAAGCTGCCTTTGAAAACTGACATTTAAAAATGTGTAGTTAACATTTAGTTATAAAAAAATGAACTAATTTGCTTACAGGGGCAATTGGTGTCAGAAGAAAGGACTTTATATCAACATAAGGAGGGCAGAAGGTGCTACTTTTGTTTAGGTTCTTAATTCAGAGACCTTGGCTGTCTCTGTGACCATAGACAAACAGTATACTTTTTCTTGTATTCTTAATCTGTTTTTTAAAAAATCAGTGGTGTTTGTAAAATGTCATCTGGAAACAGAGGCAGGTATACATTTTAGGTTTTTTTTGTTTTGTTTTGGTAAAATAGTCTTCCTTTAATATTGAAGGGAAAAAATTAAATATAGTCAAGTCTCATCTCTTTGGGTTCAACATTCATGGAATCAGCCAACTGCTAAATAAAAATTCTGGAGAGAATCATATCTATAAATAACACGTACTATTTTCTTGCTATTATCCTCTAAACAGCATACTATTTCAGCTATTCACAATAGTGGAGGCTGCATCCATGCTGAGAAGGGAGGCAGGGAGAAGTGAAGCAAAACTTCATGGAAAGTTGAGGGCTGTGAAATCCTGTCGATGCAACCTGCCCCCGTCCCTCCACCAGGACAGGCAGTAAGGAAGGCTGTCTTCTGCCTGCAGCAGGCAGAGAAAAGACACCTGTGAGGCACAAGACGAGAGGCTCTGCCACCCATCGGTGGGGAGTCCGAGTTTGCACCAACAGTGCAGTGCAGAGACAGACAGGGAATGGCTGGTTGTGGACCCTCCACAACACAGGGAACATGAGATTCTGGAAAAAAAGATCTTGCTAAGAATGAACTTGCAGTCATAAAAAGTACACTCAAAGAAGTGAAAGCCAGCAGGCATTCACTTCTTATGAATTTGTTAAAAGAATCAAAAGGAATAATTCTACAAATGGAAATCAAGCTATTGAACCCCATTAACTGAGTGAAAATTGTGGATAATGGCATATGCTGTAGAGTGGCTTTAAGGACAGTATTTTTATAATCAGGGGGAAAAATTTTGAGCCCACAGGCAGAAGTAATGCTTACCTTATAAACATTCCTGAGCATAGAATTCTAGTTGCGACTGGGACATCATTTTCAGTAATAGGCATGCCTTGGGGACTACACACGTCTGTAACAGGAGCTTGTGTTTCCATGCTTAAACAGAAGACATTGCTGATTCACTAGCAATGCTTATTTTGCCTCTAATTTCCTATTAGAGATTGGTGCTCCCTGACCCACATATATTAGACGACTTCTTCTCTTCCATCTCTGCCCTGTGGTCCTGTTACTATCTATCCACCCACTGTGCACTTCACTGACCAAACTAAGGTATCCATAGCGAGTTGCCATGGGACACAGGGAGCCAACTGGCCCGTGTCAACTTAGAACTCACCTTCAAGTGACTCCAACCACTTCAACTCACCAACAGTATCATGTTAACTCGTGCTGATTTCAGAAAAAATATGTTGCACAACTGATCTTATTTAGTCTCTTTGAGGTCTAAACAAAACACTCACCTTACTGTAAATTTGTGGTAGCACAGTAATGCACTGACATGTTAACATAATCAGTCACTTAAAAAGCACCTGGCATCATGATTTATAAGAGGCCTTCTCCTTTACCCATCAGCACTTCCAGTAATCTGTGGCCACATGTGTCATAAAACTTGGTCACATTTCATGCCCAGTGAACATGCCCAGTTATCATCCAGATGTGTTTGACCATGGGCTAGACATTTGTGTTTGAGCCTGAGTGCCTAGAAATCTGTTTTTTTTTTTTTTTTTTTTCAAGAGCTAAAAAGTGTGAAAAGAATGTCAGAGTTGGACTAAGTGATCCAAAGGTTTAGGATAAATGAGTAATGTTGCTTTTCTTCTTAAATTGACAGTTTTGTATCGAGAGAGAGAGAGAGAGAGAGAGAGAGAGAGAGAGAGAGAGAGAGAGAGACTGCACTGATTTGGAGAATCAAAAGCTACGTGAGACAGCCATGTGTTTTGCCTTCCCTGTTCTGCTATTCTAAAGAGGAATTTTATCTTGTTTTTTGAAGCTATGAAACTAGAGTGGGCTGAGAGAGGAACAATGGAGCTTACACAGAAAGCTAAGGACTGCCTCTTCCTACAGTATGACAATGCAGGGGACATTTGCTTATTCCACTGACACTAAATTGGAGAAGGGAAAAAGAGTAGAATCTGAGTAATAAGGATGAAGTGAAAATAAGTTGAAGGTCTTTATAAAAATAAGGTAACGACATACACTAAAGCTGAGAATTAACAGGTAAAAAAGAAAAAATTCCAAACAGAAAGATGAAAGTAATTTTCAAGTCTTGGTAAATCTTTTGAGAAACCATAAGATATACTGGGAGTTTAGCTTACAAATCTTAAGGTAGCTTTTCCTTAAAATGACTTCTAATCTCTTTGAAATAAGACAACATGTTAATTCCTGTTTTTTAGTTTCTATAACCTTTTTTTTCCCTAAGAAATAAGTCTTTTGGAGGTCAGTTTTCAAAAGCAGACATTTCAAAAGAAGTTGAACTGCATCGCTGTTAGGAATTCTTTCACCCCGTGGTCTCCTGCAATCCTTGTATCACTGGCCACTGGATCCTGTTTCATTTTTTTAGCTAAAAGGCATTTATCCCTTTTCAAATATTTTAAAGAATATACAATGCTCATTTTCCTATATATTGTATTTGCAATAAAAAGAAATCAGTTGTTTGTATTTTAAATCTATGGGAAATATTTACTTAAAATGTGATTACTAATTAGTTGATTCAAACCACAGACTGAAATCACAAGATGTAACATAGTGTGGGCTGAAAGAATTTAAAATCAGCACTCCGATGAGAAAAAAGAGGGATCTCTTCAGTGGTCCAGGATGCGTGTGAGTGCCGGGGACTTTCGGTTTTCTATTTTGCAGCTTCATGTTAGTGTATTTTGTAGCACATAACTACTCTGCTGTAATCACATTCATTTGAGGACTTTTCCAGTACTAGAAAAATTTGTCACTTTTCTCTTCTTGTTCCAGGTCGTTGGAGTAGCCCAGGCCATCAACAAGAAGTCAGGAAATGGCGGGACATTCACTGAAAAAGACGAAAAGGTACCCAAACTGGAGCCCGGGCTGATGTCAAATAAGCAAGCTGTTTGCGCTTTCTGGTGCATGGCCCTGTAGAATTAGCTGGTGCTAAAGCCGCTGACCGTAAAACGCGTAATGACTGCAAACAATTTGAAATGTTCCAAAGTGCATCCTTAGCTCCACACCAGGTTGGCTTGACTAGTGAGGACCTGAATCACTTGGCAGGAGCTCCCCACCCCTCCGCGCTGGTGACCAAGGCCGGGTGCCCGTGGGCGCCGCACAGAGAGTGACTTACAGTATTTTACTCTCTCATTTGTCTTTCATCGCTGCTGTGCAGACGTTCAGCCTTCAGTAAAAGTCCTTCAAAGCACCGCTCCAAGTTCAGCACTGGGGTTTGGCTGAGGTCGGGGCTGCTTCCTGGTGAAGTCTGCTTCCTGGTGTTTTATAAGCTCCGCGCACAGACGGAGGGGCGCCGCGGTGCACATTCAGGCTGGCGGGGTGAATCCGGCTGCAGAGAGGGCGGCAGTCAGCATTAGCTCTTTTTTACACTTCTCATCCAGCTCCGCAGAGCATGTCCTGCCCGCCACACGGATGCTTTTCCTGCAAGCATGCCCCTGAATCTGTTCTGACTTCGTTCTGGTCATAGGTTTTCCTTCGTCTCCTGCATATGTGGTATAGGTATATTGTAGTCCAGCGCGCGTCTCCTTTTCCAAGCACATAGCTTTTTTTTTTTGCTCCTCTGAAAATTAGTAGAAAGAAGCTTTTGAATTTGGAAGACAACCAAACAAGGCAGTTATTTTTGTCTCCGTGCTGTGGGCTGTATTGGCACCTGTGTTGGGCCTCAAGTTTTAATTGCTTTGGAGCACAGCATGAACCTTTAATTTCTTTTTTACTTTATGAAAATATAAAACAGAATCTCATAACAAAACAATAAGTGAATAACAATAATTAACACACTGAATAGCATGATCTTCAAAGTAGTTATTCAGAGTATAAGACAGAAAAGATTCTCTCTTTCAAAGAAGAAAAAAACAGATAATAGCACAATGCTTTTCATTGAACTAAGAAAAATTAAAAGTATGAATGAAACAAATTACCATTTATATTAAAATATTTTTGAAATAACAAAATGAGTCATTTAAATAATTATTTAAACTTCACTCCTGGAAGAGTTAAAATCATTGTAGTGGCAGGATACATGAATACCCCTGTTTAGAGCAGCTCAATTTATAATAGCAGCTAAATCTTGGACACCATGGATATGTCGATCAACAGAGGAGTGGAGAAGGAAAATGTGGTGCTTCTGCCCTGTGGCATTAAAATGTGATTACTAATTAGTTGATTCAAACCACAGAGTAAAATCACAAAATGCAATATAGTTTGGGCTGCAATATTTTTTTTCTGCAATAAAGAAAGAGAAGTTTGAAGCATCTCAGTTTAAGAGGATTGTGTCAGTTCCCAATTTTATGCAAAATGAATGTCTATACTTTAGGCTTTTAGACAGTAAATATTTTTAGTGCATCTTATGTTTAAAACAACATCATTAGACCAATCTCTAAGCAATTTTTACTCAGCTTGCTGTCTCCCTGTCTCCTAGGACTTTGCTGCTTACCTGGCATTTTGTGGTATCGTTCTTCACAATGCTCAACTCTATGAAACTTCCCTGCTGGAGAACAAGAGAAACCAGGTAAGTATGATATTAAAGAGAGAGAGTAGGTGTCCTTTCTTACAATGTTATCAAATTTTAATCCAAGTAATGGAAGCGCAGGACGAAAAATCAAATAGTCTCTACTTCTAAATGTATGAGCAGTTTCTGCTAATAGTTATGGTCCCTTTTGCATCCTGTTCCCCGTGCTCGACTGCTTCAGCACTGTTAGATGAGACTCCTTGACTGGAGAGGCGAGGATTTGTCCTGGACCCTTCTTTGCTGCCCCTTACCCTAGCCCTACCAGTGCCACTAAATCGTTGTTCAAAGTTAGTGCATGTGGTGAATGCGTGGTATGAAATGCTGTTTTCTAGCTCTTGCCTTGCCGGTGGCAGGCTTTGCCCTCCATTTTGCATCCTGTCCCTCTCTTCGTCTCTCTTGCCCAGCCACCACACTGCAGCTCTGATTTTCCATTTGGAGTTCTTCTTTATTGCCCGGCACTGACAGCACACACGCTGCTCTACAGCCATGATGAACTCTTCTTAAACTTTATCTGTCCTCCTTCACAAGTTGCAATTTAAAATACCATATTTGCAATTACTACAACTATATAAATTCCATGTGTTACCTCTGTTGTACATTTTTGAAATTTTTCCTTGTCCCCCTGTTTGCTCTGGTGTATCCTTGTATTCTTTGTGTTCTTCCCTCCCCAAGCTATGTCTTATGTTAGGCCTTTTTCTGAGTTCTTTTTTTCTTGGACATGTCAGTTGGAGGTCTCTACTTTCTTCTTCCAACTAAACTCTTAATCTATGTCTGCTACACACGTCATCACAGAACTTTCCTTCATTGCTATTTTACAAAGATGGTTTTATTTCCTCAATCCTTATAAATTTTTCTTGCTCAGTTATTCCTAGTTTCTGTTCTGGAACATTCTTAAATATTTAAGAAACAGCACTGATAAGTCAGGTGCATTGGTGCATGCCTGTAACCCCCAGCACTCTGGGAGGCTGAGTCAGGAAGATTACAAGGTGGAGCTCAGCCTGGACAACTTAGTGTTCTAGGGAGATTGTCTATAAAAAAAATCAGAAAGGACTGGAGATGTAACTCAGTACAAAGTCCTGGGTTCATTCCCCAGTATTATAAGAAAGAAGAATAAGGAAAGGAGTGGAGGAGAAGGGCCAGGGGAAGAGAGTATGAGCCTTGTGTACTTTTCTCTTTGCTGAGACAAAATAGGAGACACCCAAAGTTAAAGGAGGAAAAGTTTATTGGCTCACAGTTTATAGAAGTTTCAGTTTATCAGCTGCTGGCTGCAAGGCAGGATGTCGCAGCAGAAAAGCATCGCAGAGGAGAAATAGCTCATGGCAGACAGGAGGCAGTGCAGCAGTGAAGTGGTGAAGCAGCAAGCAGCAGCTCCTGCTATATTTTCCATTCAAGCTACCTGTTCTCAGGGTGAGTCTCACTCATATCCAGGGTGGGACACCTTTAGCCCTGTACAGTGGTGCCAGGGATCAGCCCCAGCATCTCACTGTGCACATCCAGCCATCGAGGAAATACTCCACCTGTGACTGCCTCAGGCTTCGGAGTTTGGGGAGACACCTAGACACAAGCTGAGGAAGAGAGGAAGGGAAGGAGGGAGGGGGAGGAAAGGGGAGAGAAAGAGAGAGAGAGATTGTTCATTAGTGAAGCAAACGTTCTCAATCTTTGCATGTATGAAAGCATCCTACCACTCTGATTGTGTAAATATTATGTTTCTTTATTTTTTTATTTGTACGTGTTTGGCGTACATGACACATGTTCATCTTGGCGGTGGGTATGTGTACTGAACACACGGTACACTGATTCTCTATATCCACCCCCACCTGACCTCCCTCTCTGCCTCTCTTCCTGCATTTCATTGTTACAACTATTAGCTCATGCTTATGACAGAAAAAGCTTCTGTTCATTGAGGGCAGCCGGCACATGCACATGATGCATCTTAAATACTTTTGTGGCCCTCCATCCAGACTCTTGATCCCCTTCCCATTTGCAAAAGATGTATCTTCCCATTTTCTTTCATCAGTTTTTTTATTTTACTCTTTGTTGGAACTATTCAAGAAGAGAAACCCATAGGGTATTTGAGCTTGCGTATCTCAATTATTTCATTTAACAATATGTTTTCATTTTGCTACAAATGGGACTAGTGTCTATGTTACTCCAATTCATGGCTCTTTATAAATATCTTGTGAGTTATCTATTATATGTAAACATATAACAGTGTATTTTCATATTATGTACAATACATATTTTATATACTGTATGCTATATGTTGTCTCTTTGTAAGGTTTTGGGGTATTTGGCTTCATCTTCAGAACTTCCTTTCTTTCATAAGATGACTGCTCAGCTGGCTGCTACCTGCAAGTGAAGTCAGCCCTTTGTGTCTGAGGACTCACGCGAGCCTCCACTTTTGTGCAATTCTTTTTTGCCTCTCTTTCTGTTTTCTTCTATGTTTTAGAGCTCATGCTGACAAGATATTGGACCTTCTGTGTGTGCCTCAAACTGCAGAAGCCTTCTGTTTCATTCTTTTTTTAAATTGATTTTATTGAGAAACAAATAGCAATAAGACAGTTTCAAAACCGATTAGTAGGACAGTTTCAATAATTAATACATTGCATATTGTTGTCCTTATAGTGGTTATTCATAGTACAAGATGCAGACATGATATCCTGTCCAAATACTATTAGGACAAATCTTTCTTCTCATTGAATGAGGAGAAAGTAGCTGTACATCTATCCTAACTATTTTGTGTATACAGATACAAAATGGTCCTTCATTTATATCCCCCTTTTTTTATTTTCTCAGAGATGTGTATTCCATTGCCATTTAAATATTGTAGGTGCGTGAATTCAGTAAAATAATCTGGCAACCTGGTTCCACCAAAAAAAAAAAAAAGTCTGGCGAGTGTGTGGGAGAGCTACTGTGCACCCTTGAGCCCGCTGGACCCCCCCAGACCCAGCCCAAGCCTGGTGGGTCAGATCTGTTCTGCTCTTGACCCTTTTCCCATCCTCACTCTTTACAAAAGCAGCTGTGGCAACATTGCTCCCTCCTGGTCTGTCGCAGTATGAGCTGCCTCAGAGTCACAACAGGCCCTCCGGAACCTTCTCTCGTCAGCACTGCATCCTCCACCTGGTTCTTCTCTGTATTCTTTGTTCCTGTAGCATTTGATCAGCACTTTCAGTTCAGTTCTTTTTTTCCTGAACAATTTCCCTTCTGCCTCATATCTGATTGATTTCTGATCATCTTGCACATCTCAACTGGGATGGTATCTCACATAGTAAATCTACCAGTGGAAAATTCTTTCTCCCATTAAATGAATAAATGGTTTGTGAGATCAGGAGAAATTCTGTGACATGCAGGGAGAAGAGACATTTCAGAAGGCACAAAGGGAGCTCTTAATTTTTAGCTTGGATAGTACTGACTTGGTCTGAAATATCGATGATGTTGATAAATTTTGATCTCAGAAGTTTGGAGCAATAACGGTAATTGTGTATAATGTACCAGATACTATTCAAAATGCTTTATAAATATTAAATTATTCAATCCTTACTTTTCACAAAACTTGCCTTAGGTCAAAAATTTAGCAGGAAAAGAAGTTAGAATTAAAGACCGATTACTCTGGCTTAAAAATCCTGTGATTTTAACCATTATGTTAATCTTATTCACAAACACTAGGGAATTCTGTTAATAAACAGAAAGCAATTTGATACTTGAGTTGAAGCTTGATTATAACTTTCTACATTATATGAGCAACTTATAACCATTGCAGATCTTTATAGTGATTGATTTATTAATTGCAAATACCTTAAAGGATTTAGCTATCCATTTTCCTTGTCTAGGTGCTGCTTGACCTTGCTAGCTTAATTTTTGAAGAACAACAATCATTGGAAGTGATTCTGAAGAAAATAGCTGCCACTATTATTTCCTTTATGCAGGTGCAGAAGTGCACCATTTTCATTGTGGATGAAGATTGCTCCGTGAGTACAGAGTATGGCTTTTTAATTTTTAGACAGATGGAAACTTGCACTCCTGGAAACACTGCTTCGAAGCTTTGTTTTAGTCTAAGAACCCTCTCTCAAGCCCAACTGCATGGGGATATCTAAAGTTGATCAGAATTTGGACTTCTCTGGCTACACGGAGCTGGGGTGACACCGGAGGGTGCTTTTGATGTCCCCCACCACGAAGCAGGTCCCATGGAAAGGAACACTGTGAGCTGAATCTGTCAGTGACTACATTGTCTTGAAGAAGAGACATTGTCATTACAGTGTTAGCTTCGCAGTCAGCAGTAGTGGTGCCCAGGTTGCTGAGAACAAGTAGATGCCCACTGTTGAATAGGTTGGATAGAATCATTTATTTTTACCACAGATTACTTAAAACCAGAAGGCATAGCCCAGCAGAGGCAGTTATTCAAGGAACTAATGAGTCCTGTATCCTTCACCAACAGGGGAAGCCACTCCTGTTTAATTGGCTGGTTTCAGTCCATTGACTTGTGATGCGAAGCAACACCTCCGGGTGTCTCACCCAGAGCCACATGCTGGCAGACAGGCCCTCTGCCTTGCCTTGTTGGCTGTTAGAGCCTGATCCCTGGCCCGAGGCAGTTGGCTTTTACACAGGTTCTTTCCCTTCTTGTCTTGTGAGTTGCTGCTTTCTGGTGTGACGGTTTTCATTTTCCATTTCTGTAAGATGGGGCTAACATTGGTGAGCTGCTGGGTGAGAGCGGTACTACCACTTGTGAGGAGGTCAGTTAAAAGCCAGGGATAATGTTGGAATTGACATGGTCAGGGAAGTTGAAAAATAAAATAAATTTGATCATTTTTTCTTAAAACATTTAAATTGGTTTAGACATTGTCTATGGGATCCATTATCACCTGAATCATTTTGTATGAATGTGTATGTCAGAATGGATGTGTCAGTTAATAAAAAAAACTCTTATTAACAGGATATCAAAGTAGCATTTATTGTGCTTAAAAAATAATAGCATTCCTTAGATATTATTTCATATTTTCCTTTTTATTATACTTTTACTTTATTTTGAAGAGTAAAAACAAAAGCAAGAACAAAAATCAGAAACAAAGACAGAATCAAGATAACATAGAACAATACATATGTTATAGATTTTCAAAACAAGAATAGCTGATTAACAATGGTTGATATATTATCTATTTTTATCATCAGAATTTTCCATCAGTTATAAAATCCTTAATGTAGACATGATTACAAGATACCCCTTAACCTTTTAAAGTTCAGGTCAGAATTCATTAGTGCATTATGTCAATTTATCATTTTTGCTCTGTGACCTGTTTTTAGCTTTTAATTTTAAAAGTTATACATGAAGCACTTCATTTTAAAACAACTTGAAGTTGGCCAAATAACTCAGTGGATTAAAGTGCCTGCAAGAAGGCACAGGAACCATGGTCCCTGGGCCTGCCACGCCGACCCCACCTCCAGGGTGTGCTGAGATGGCAGTTGAGACTGGGCATGGTGGCACACGGCTATAATCCCAGCTGTTTGGAGGCTATAAAACAGTCGGATCAGTATAAGTCTGATCTAGTAGTGAGATCCTGAACACCCTGTAGACCCTTCCCTAAAATACAAAAATAAAGAACAACTTGAAATATCACTTTAATTATCATTCAATTCAAGCTTCTACCCATACCTATCGTGATAGCAAACTCATTTGGACCAGTGATATTTTGAACTACAACTCAACAATATGCTACTGAATTTCTTTTGCTTATTTTTTTACATTTTAAGTTGTTGGGTTTAGGAAAGGAATGAGATGACTTGATGTTCATTTACATTGCAATTATTTAGAGTTATAAATATTCAACATGATCAAAAATAAAAATGTATATATACTCAGCTCTTCTGTTCACCAGTTATGTTGTCATTGCTTTATTTCTGTATTTCTTTCCAATTCTCCTTTATTCAATTGTAAATATGCCATTAATGCAAATGGCATTTTTCTTCTTAAAGTAATTTTAAAATATTACTATGTTACTGAAGATGTCATCATTATTTTAATGTTCTCATAAAATATTACTGAATGATACTTCTGTGTAAGAAGGGATTATCCAGGCCAGCAGGATGGCTCAGAGGTCTAAAGTGCCTGTTGAGGCAACCTTAGGCAAGCACACAGGGACTGTGGTTCAATCCCCGGCACCACATGCCCGGCCTGCCCTGCCCCCGGGTGGGCTGAACAGGCCACAAAAAAGGGGGGATTATCTTCCTGGGATCTAATAACATTCATCGATATGTACATGTAAGCCCAAACCTGAAGAAATTTGGAGGCCAATATATACATTAGCACCTGGTAGAAAAAAAACAAACAAACAGATGATATTCAAACCTTCTTACAAATGAAGATCAGAAATAATATGATCAGATCTTTTAATAATGGGAAGCAGCTTTGAGCATGTTAATTAATAAGTACTTGAATCAATTCAGTTGGGAGCAAGAATAAATATATTACAAGAATCAGTGCCTTTAGTGATTTCCACTGTGTGTGTGTGTGTATGTGTGTGTGTGTGTGTGTGTGTGTGTTACCTTGTGGAGCTTATCTCTCAGTCTGTGTTCTCACTTTGTTTTCAGGATTCTTTTTCCAGTGTGTTTCACATGGAGTGTGAAGAATTAGAAAAAGCATCTGATACTCTGGCAAGGTGAGTAACTTAGTCTCTACTTGTCATTACCGTGGGCATATGATGCTGGGCAGATTGCTTCTTCATTCCCAGTTTGATGTAAGACATAAGTGATAGACTGTGTTTCCCCCACACACAAATAATTTTAGTTGTCAGAATAATTTATTTGATGTTAAAAGTCCTCGGGGTTTTCCATGACACTGTCCTACCTGAGAATTATTTCTTACAGTGAATAATGCTAGAGTGTGTGTAGGGCTGAGTACAACTACACTGTTGTGAACTAGTGCATTTCAATCATATTTTTTCATTAGAGTGACTGATCTGTATTAGTCCTGTTTTTGTTGCTGGAACAACATACTTAACATCACAATTTAAAGGAGAAAAGGTTTAATATGGCTCATGGCTCCAGAGGCAGAGGGTTCAGTCTGTGCCTGGCTGGCTCCAAGGCAGGATGGAATGGCCCAGGGGCACAGCCATGGGAAGCTGCTTCGTGTGGCAGCCAGGAAGCAGTGAGGAAGGGAACAGTGCCAGAGAAGAAGGGCCAGGAGCGAAGGCCATGTGCGCATGGCCACGGCCTCCAGGTGGGCCCTCTCCCCTGCAAGCCCGCTGAGCTGTGAAGTCCCCGGGTGAACCTATGGATGAAGTTGTTGCCCTCACAATCCACTCACCACTGCATGAGTCTCCGTAACGCATTTAAATTGACAGTCAGGGTTAGCAGAGCCGTTCCTGGACATTTTACAGATTTCCAAGCAAGCTCTTCTGAGAAGATAATGGAAATACAACACTTGTGGGTCTTAAATGAAATTGCTCACAATACTACTACACCTAGCTCTGGACCAATTCAAACACTACTCATTGTATGAAATAATTCTTGAATGAGCCAGAATTTGTTCTGGCTTGGGATTAACCATTAAGATTTAGCTACTAGTAGAAGGAAGCTTGTGGTCCTGATAATAAAATATTTGTTCCTGTTATCACTAAGTCATATTAGAGCTCCATTGATATTTAGTTCTTTTCCACATTTTTGCTTATTTTTAAAGTTCTATTCATTTCTTTGCTGATAACTGTTACTCATAAACAATATAATGTGTTTATATGATCGAAGATTCAGATGATATTGTCCCAATTTTGTATGTGCTACTCTTGGAATAGATTTAAACTAATAAATGAAGGGCCAGCCAAATAGCTCAGTGGATTAAAGCGCCTGCAAGCAGGCACAGGGGCCAGAGGTTTGAACCCCAGGCCTGCTGTGCCAGCCCTGCCCCCAGGGCATGCCGAGATGGCACTTGAGACTGGGCGTGGTGGCACATACCTATAATCCCAACTCCTGGGAGACTGTAAACAGGTGGATCACTATGTGTCCGCTCTAGTAGTGAGACCCTGAACAACCTGTAGACCCTTCCCTAAAATAAAAAAACTAGCAAATTTAAATTAATAAAAACTAATAACTAAGAAATGTGACTATTTCTTTTTCTCTTCTTAGCAAATATTTAGCATTGTAAGTGATAGGGTATTATAAGCAATTTAAGTGTTAAAGAATATAAATCTGCCAAGATAAAATATCATGAATTCTTGGGCCTAATGTCATTTTATTTGGGATGTGTGTGTGTGTGTGTGTGTGTGTGTGTGTTAAAAAACTATTTCACCCTTCATTATTACTCCTATATCCAACCCCTCCCCCCATGGCTTTCATTTTAACTTTTGATACTAAAGTTCCAAACTCTTTTACTAGAGTAGACTTCACTTAGTGAGTGTTAAAGCAACTAAGCATAATCTCCAGATAACTGAGCTCCTCCGTGGTGGTGCTTTTAAAATAACCTCAGTGTACATCTACTGCAGAACATCCTAGCGGCTAGAAGCCTGGTCTCTCTAGCTGGTATCTCTGAATAAGTGGGTAGAGACCAATGGTCATGAAGACATAGAAGCCACATGCAATACTTCAACTTTTGTTCAGATTCTAGTGTTCAGAGCAACAATAGTTGCTGGAAACACTTTTATGGACAACTGAAAATCTTACTATGGACCAGATACTAGCTACTGACAGAGAATTTCCTTACACGTCTTTGAATTTAAGAAGCCGGTAGCATCAGTGGAAGAATGTTCTTATCTTTGGGAGACTTTGCTGAAATATTTAGAGCATCCTGATTTCTGTACCAGGCTTTAAAACAGTTCAACCGAAGATGAGCAAGTGAATAGCTTTTAAAAGTTTAGATAAGTACACCTTCGTACATATATGATAGGGTAAGTGTGGCAAAAGCTTCACACGTTGAATCCATGAGGAGTGTGGTCATTTTACTTTCAGGCTTCTTTTACTTTTTCTGTATATGCAAATAGTTTGACATTAAAAAAAAGAAAATGTTTGCAATAAAAAATGGAACATAAAGGAAAAATCATGTCTAGATCCTATAAATCACAGCTGCTTGGGTTTGCAGCTTGAAGGACATGATACCCGGGACACAGGCTGGTCCTGTTCTGAGCCTGTTAAGTGAGCTCGGCCTCAGAGAGCCCCGCGAGCCCCGCGGAGGGGTCCCCCGCGCCAGCCTCTGCAGTGCCCCCGGCTGTCATCGCCCCTCCTAATCTTCTCCCGCTTCCCTCTCGGAAGCCTCAGCCCATCCGGAAGCAGAAACTGCTCACCCCGGTGACTTCAAGCTGTCAGCTTAAGTGTGTGTACCTAAATCAAACCTCATTATTACTAGACTACTATTTTAACAATAAATGAAGGACCTTTTCTCCTATTAAAAGAAGTTTTGAATTAACCAAAGGGTGAGCATGGGACGTGGAGGAATTCAGTGGACTCAGAAGCAGGCCTGACCTCAGCCTTCCCTGCCGGCGTGGGCGTGGGGTGCAGCCAGGCCGCAGGCTGTGCCCTCTCTGCAGCGCTTGCTGCTGCCCTGGAGCTCGGGGTTCATTCGTCGCCGCTGAGCAGCTGGTCTGCCTCATTTTGGCCTCGTGGGTGTGAGCTGGAAGCTGCGTCTCATCTCCGTCCCCGGGCCTCGCGAGCCCCTTGTCACAGTCTTCTGGCACCCTTGACGTTGTTTTGCTTGGTACTAGCTCTTTTCGAATGTGTGAAAAGAAACGATGCGCATGTCCTGGAGTCGTGGGCGCCTTGTTAAGTGCTGCGAATCTCAGTTATGGAGCCTCTTCTCAGGAGCAGCAAAATAGATTATCTCTTCTTGATGACGGCATAACAATGCTTGCTTTAAAAAAATGTCAGGACCGGCGAGATAGCTCAGTAGTCTGAAGAGCCTGCTTAGGCAAGCTTAGGCAAACGCTTAGGACCAAGGTTCGATCCGTGGCCCTACATGCCACGCCAGCCCCGACCCCAGGAGGGTGGGCTGAACTGGACACACACACACACACACACACACACACACACACACACACAAATCAGTATGTTTCTAGATAAAAAATGTAAATAGAGTATTTGAACATTTTATTTTTGGGATATGTGTAACTATTTATATAAAGTGATGTAAGTATATAAAGATATAAATGTGTAAATACACCAAATATGCAAATATATACCCACATCTATTTATCTCCATTGCACAATACTAAAATTGCATGATGGTGCTTATTAGAAATATAAGATGATTAATCTTCTAGATTTACCTTTGAATGTTTCTGCACCACTTGTGTACCGAGGTAACTGTATTTTCTGCATTGGCATTTTAATTTTTAGCCTAGTGATAGCCCAACGGATGCAGACCTGGTATCATCGCGCCCTCTACTGGCAGATGCATATTTTTCAAAAAACAAAAATAAAATCTTAGTACGTGATTTTTTTCTGAAACTGCTATCGCTCAAGACTTAAAATTGCTAGCTTAAGTGTGTATATTTGACTAAAAATGTATTACCACTATGATATCGTCTAGTTATGATTATTCTTTGTTTTAAATCCAGTAAAAGGTATTTTCTCACAGTATTTTAATTATTCCAAGACAGAATTAGTATAAAGATATTTTTATAAAAGATAACTACTTTAGTGTGATCACCTTAAAAAGACACAAAATTCACTGATTTATTAATTCTTATAGTAAAAATTTCATTGAATATTAACGGCTTATGCACCTACATACTTTAAAGTCAGCCTTTATTCTAATAAGAACTCAGTCATTTTAAAATATTTTGTTAAGATATAGTTTAATGTCTTTATTAATTTTAATTAATTTATAATTTTTAACAGACCAGTGTTTAGTAACCTTGGCATTTTGAAAAGGGACTAAATGGTCATTATTTTTAGGCAGTATTTATGAGTTGGAAGAGATTTTTCTGACCAATCCTCTAACTGCTGTTTGTAACTTAGAGTAACATCTTCACCATAGCATTGAGCTGTTAAATGTAAAACTAAAAGATAGTCCAGGTAATATTGTACACTCTTATTAGATTCATATCATTAATGGCAGGAAACATAGCAAGCCTTGGGGTAGGGGTGCCCAGGACTTCCCAAAGGAAGGCACATTACTGGGTAGCAGGACGTGTTACTTTCTGTGACACCCCTTGGAGCGGTCCCAGTTAGCAGGAGAAGTGAATATGAAGCTGATACACCTCGTATCAGCTCTTTCTTTTGAGAAATAGATGTTGAGTAGTACCATTCCATACTAATTAACCTTATGCTCTTTATAAAAACGCATTTAACACATTTTCATCATGAAGTGACAGATACATGGAATTAATCATTGAACTTGCATTGAATTAAAAAGCTTTTGCTCAGCAAAAGAAAGTACAGAGTGAGGAGACAGACCACGGAATGAAAGAGAAAAAAATTGCTGGCTGTTCCTCAGACAAAGGAATAGGTAAAGAAGGAAAAACAATCAAGACTCCCCAGATGTAAAGACCCAATCCAAAAATGGACATCTGAAATGAATGGACACCTCTCAGATACAGAAGAGCAAATGGCAAATATATACTTTTTTAAAAAATGTTCAACATCACTGATCATGAGATGCAAATTAAAACAACACTGAGGTTCCATCTCACCCCAGAAAGAATGGCTGTAATCAAGAAGTCAACTAATCACA